ATGTCCTGGAACTTTTTTTTTTTTCTGAGTCAAGTTAAAAAATTACTAAGAATATTGAAGTAATATTAAATTTTTTATGCGAAAATTTTTTTAATATAAATGTTTTGAATTTAATTTTAAATAAGAGAGTAATAATTATATATAATATAATAATATAATATTCTATTCTATAATTCAATCAATATGAAAAAAATATACCGTAAATTATCTTTAATAATAATATTCATTTAATAAGATATAAAATGTCCTGGAAAATGCAACAAAATGTCCTGGAATGTCCTGAAAATGTCCTGGAATTTAACTTTTAAAATTTTGTGGCCACCATGAATAACTTTTAAATGTTTTAAAGAATGTGACTTTTTGTTGTTGTTGTTGTTGTAATTTGTCAAAAATTATTAGAAAAATACAATGCAGTCTTTTCCATTTGACCAACAAAATTTTTGTCAAACAAAACGCTTGTCAAAAAATTTCAAGCGTATTTTTAAATTGCAACAAATTATTTTTCTTAATCAGATTCTAATTAAAAAGGTACAGAAAACAAATATTTTTTAAATCGCGCATGCTGGACAAATAATTACTAAATTAAATTTTAAATTTAATTTAATAATTATTTGTAATTTTTAAACGAAGAAGACTCACAATGTGGTCACAAATTTAAAAAAATATTTTTTCAATAACTTTTATGAAAAACAATATTTAATTATTAAAAATGAGTATAGCATGATAAATAATAAAATGTATAAAAATTTAGGATGTCGAACAATTCAACAATTTTTGAACAATTCGACTCGAATTGTTCAAAAAACTTTGATCAAAATCTGACAATTTAATTACATATAAATTTTTGTCTAAATTATTTTTTTTGCCAATGACATAAAATTTTCAATTTTTAACTTTTATTTTAAACATTAAACTACTAATTATTTATTAGATAGTTTTATGAAGAAAAAAAATTTCAATATTTGCTACTAATTAATGTTAAAATTGCTCGTCAACGTAAAATCAAACATGAAAATGTTTTTAATTACTTCTGCTGGCAGGAGGCAAACGTTCCTCCTCCAATTTGGCAGCCGCAATCAGTTGAAGGCAGAAGCCACTGCAAATGGCCTCCGAATTATTTTCCCATCAAAATTTCTTCTGGAGGTGGCCACCAGTGGCTTCTGCCTCGCTATTGGCGTCCGTCTCTAAAACATTTTGCTCCAAAAATAAACTCTGGCTATGAATGCCAATTAGAAGGCAAAATCAACTGGAAGCAGGCACCAAAATATTTTGTTTCCAAAAATTTATTGGGAGGCTGCTGCCAATTCTGCCTTCCTAAAAAGTTAGTATTTCTGCAAAATTTTACTTTGTTGCTGGGAGGCATTATCATCTCTGTAATAAACAATGCATATTGTTGCAAAATAAAAACTGTTGCAAACTTAAACAGCAAATTGAGAAAATAAAAACCGTTTAAGATTGATTTTAACTCAATATATATAAGTAGCTCAAGTAAATATAAGTAAATCAATAAATATAAGAGGATAACTCATAACATCTAGCTGCTGCTGCTGATTAAATGTTATTTTAAAGTGATTAAATTTTGTATAACACATGTTATTGAAACCCAGCAAAACCACCTCTTGAATATAACTAATATTAGAAAAAAAATATAACTCTATATCCTAGTATTAGAAAAAAATATAACTCTATATCCTAATATTAGAAAAAAAATATAACTCTATATCCTAATATTAGAAAAAAAATATAACTCTTTATCCTAATATTAGAAAAAAAATATAACTCTATATCCTAATATTAGAAAAAAAATATAACTCTATATCCTAATATTAGAAAAAAAATATAACTCTATATCCTAATATTAGAAAAAAAATATAACTCTTTATCTTAATATTAGAAAAAAAATATAACTCTTTATCCTAATATTAGAAAAAAATATAACTCTATATCCATATATTAGAAAAAAACTTTAGTAATTATGAAAATAGATTTTTATTACTAATTAATGATAATAATGAAATAATGAACTTGGCATAATTATAAAATAAGATAATAATGAACTTGGCATCTTTTTTCATCAACAACTTTTCTTGCGATTTTGAATCTTGTGTCAAATAATGCACAAATAACCATTTATATCATTCACATTATTAAGTTTGTCAATAATGATTAAGATTTTTACCGAATTTACCAGTAATTATTGATATAATTACCAGTAATGAACTTATGCATTTTTATTTGATTTACCTGTTTATCGGTATTACCAAGTTTTACCAATCCCTAATTGTTTCTCAAAAAAAGTAAACTTATATTTTCAAGTTGTTTTTAAAAATGGTTTTGTTTAATAATTTTTTTCTTTAAAGTCTAGAATAAAAAAGACTAATTTTAAGATTTAATATGATTTTCCTACTTTTGAAATCCAAGTTGATATACTTTTAAAAAACCATTTCTGTATTTAGGGTCTTCTTAATTTTAGAACTGGTTTTAAAAAGTGACTAATGATTTGGAAATCATTAGTCACTTTTTGTCTTTGATTATAGTCATACACAATAAAAACTTAGGCAGCTCAAAATCAGACACTTTTTTTGTCCTATGGTATCTACTTTTTTTGTCCTATGGTATCTATATTTTGATGGTATCTACTGTGCAGCATGCAATCTGAATTGTGTTACATGCAAATCATGTCAAAAGATCTCTATTGTCTGAAATATATGGTATGTTTATCATATTGGTGGTACTTGCAAACACATAGTGAATGTAGACTTCTCAGAGATACACCACTTTTGTTTAATCTCAAAAAACTTAGAAAACCAGACCTTGACAGCAACAAATTAAGGAAAGGTGAGATTCCTTAATAATAATTAATGAGTCATTTTTCGAAAATATTTCTTTTACAATCAACTTAGATTTAAACATACTGTTTCTTCCCTGGACACATTTAAGAGGTTTTATCTAGTGGAGGTCGTGAATTTTTTAATAATTTTAAATTGATTTTTATTAATTCATCTTTCTTTTTGCATAGCCTACTCTGTCATTGCAAACTGCAAGTTTTAGAAGTGAACAATCAAGGTTATTGATGAAATTAAAGTTTTCTTTTATATGTGTTTTTATTAAAGTTATTTTTTAGTCATTATTATAGTTACATAATTTAGTCGTTATTATAGTTATATAAGTTAGCTTTCATTATTTTTTAAAATACAATGTTTTTTGACATTCTCTGCAAAGTTCTCCAGGTACTAAATTTCTACCTAGCCAAAGTTACAGGAGCCATTACAGTCAGTAACAGATTCAGAATATTTTGGTGTTTGAAATAAATTCCACACATGGAGCAAACTTCAAGCATTTATGTTTATACTTATGTCAAATAAGGATGGTTTGCAAAAAATTGCAATAATTGGAGGCTGGGAACAAAAAAGCCTTTTAACTTTATCCTTCAAACCCCCTCCCTCCCCATCCCAGATGTGAGGTACAACAAGTTGATAATTTATTTTATTGTTAACTAGACTTATATTTATCGGTAGATTTTAAATTTCATAGTATTATCTCTCAGCTTTCAAAAATTATGACCATATAAAATTTGTAACCCCCTCAAATTGAGGGGGTTTAGACTTTATAGTCATATTTTTTGAACACTTTGAGATAATCGTATGAAACCTAATATTTATCAATGAATATAAATCTTGTTAAGTATAGTACAAAAAATATTTTATCAACTTGTTTTCCCTCATGTTTGGGGTGGGGAGGGGGATATGAAGTCAATGGGCTCTTTCGTTTCCAGCCTTCAATCATCGTAATTTTTTGCAAAGCATCCTTATTTGACATAAGTATAAAATAAATGTTTGGAGTTTGCTTCATGTCTGAAAGTTAGCTATCTCAAGCACCAAAAAATCCTGGATCCGTCACTGACTAGAGTTGAAGAAACTACTGTTTATCCAATGTAACAATCATTAAAATGAGATGATGTGCTTTTCATTTGTTTATTATTTTCTAAAAAATGTTATTTAAAGAAGTTTGGGTTTCCATAAGTTTTGTTTTTAAAAAAAACAATGTTGATCTTAAGGGGTTGATTCATTTTTTTTTTTTTTTCAAAATAAAGCCCCCCTCCCTCCCTCTTCTCCAACCTATAAATATTTCAAAACAAAAAATATTTAGTTTATTTGACATTTCTCTGTACTTAATCAAAACTTAAAATGTTACTTAATGTACTTATTTAAATCTTAAAATGTCACAACATATTTTAACCTTTTTAAGAGAAATGATAAAATCCAGTTTACGTACAGTTATTTGAAAAAAGAAATTCAAAAAAAGCGTACTTTTATTTTGACGTCTTTTTGCTTCTTATCTTGCTAGCAATCAAATTACGTTGCAAAAAATAAAAAATATTATTTGGAACGGTTGTTGCTCGATTTCTTTTTTATCTCATTATTTATAAAGAAGTTAAAAAGAAAATTTACTGAAGTCACGCATTACTGATTTGTTACACACATGAAATTCAGTGTTTTTAAAAAAAAAAAAAAAATTAAAATCAAGTTTAGGAGAGATAGTCAAACCGCGTAGTACTTACTGTTATTAATACCCCTCCCCTCCCCCCTTACCTTTGTACGCGTTTGTACGCCTTTTAGAACCCCCTCTCAGAATTGTTAATAACAAAAAAGTCTGATATTTTGTTTTAAAATATTGAGTTTCAAAGTACAAATATTTTGCTGCAATGAGGTTATTTTAACGAGAAAAATCAGAAGTTTAAATGACTATAACTCATACTTTTACTATTAATGTTTATAAGCAGAAATTTTAGCATTTGCTTTTTTTATTGATATAAATTAAACTACAAAATTTTATTGAAATATGTGGTCCATGTTGGCATGAAGTGACCCTATTCTTTTTATTCTTTGTAAGTGTCTGAATTAAAGTTGGAATTTAAAAAAATAAAGTAAACAAAACATATAATTACATAATTTTGTATTGTTAAATGTATTTTATTTTTTATTTATTTTTTTGTTTAGACGGAATATATCATAACTTTGAAGTTGATCGAGTTATTTCACCTGTGTTTGAAGCTCGACAATATGCAGATAAAAATAACTTACCGTTCATACTGTGGTGGACCCCATTCACTGGCGAAAAAGGAAAACTTAAAAAATGTTTTATAGGAGAATGCTACTTTACCATTGATCGGCAATTATACAATCACAATGCAACAATGGCTTTGTTATTCTATGGGTCTAATTTTAATGGCAACGACCTTCCTTTGCCAAGAAAAAGTCTTATTTTTAGTGTTCATATATATTTTGTAGTTCTAATTTTTTATTTTGATACTCTTGTTATCTTAAGTATATTTCATTTAGTTAAAAGTTTTAATTTACCAAGTCTATGGCATAATTTTTCCAAAATTTATAATTATTTTTTTCATAAACTAGTTAATGGTCTAAAAAACAAGTTTTTTTAATAATTTTTTTTTTTTTAAATAGAATTACATGAGTGGGGATTGTTACATGAAGAATCACCTAAAAATCAAGCGCTATTTATGTTTCAAGACATTATGGAGTTGTTCAATTATACTTCTACCTTCAAACAACAATCATCTTACCCAATATCAACCCAGTATATAGTTTCAGAATCGTACTTACTTAAACCATCAGTATATACAGTATCTGAAAAAAATTGGATGAAGGAAACACTAGATTTAGCCTCAATAGCGTATATACAAACTGGATGCAATCCACCTTCAGATCGCGATGCTTACGTACAAGAGTTAATGAAGTATATTAGAGTGGATTCGTATGGTAAATGTCTACACAATAAAGATTTGCCTGTTGAGCTTAATAGTCCGAGCAAAATGAACTCAAAAGCTTTTATTGAATTCATTGGGAAATATAAATTTGTTCTTTCATTTGAAAACGCAATATGTAATGACTATATTACAGAAAAATTGTTTAGAACCTTTAATATGGGTTCAATTCCCATCTACAAAGGTGCTCCAAATATCAGAGATTGGTTACCTGATGATCATTCTGCTATAATTGTTGATGACTTTAATAGCCCTAAAGATCTTGCAGATTATATAAATTTCGTTGATTCAAATTCAACTGTTTATGAACAATATTTAGAATACAAAACTATTGGTTTAAGGAATCCTATATTAAATAAAGCTTTATCTGAAAGGCAATGGGGAGTAAAATCATTTTATCGAATGAGTTATGTTACAGGATTTGAATGTTATGTCTGCGATCAAATACATTCAAATTTAAAGCTTATGCAAGAAGGCAAATTACCCATTAAACATCAAGCTACTTTCGAACATTATGGGTGTCCTAAACCAGAAAAGTATAATTATTCTGATATTCCTGGTGCATTTGACTGGGAGAGAAATATATGGTTATGGGAGTATGAAAAAGCAAAAAAAAATTCTGTGCTCTTGAAGGAAAAAGTTTATTCAACATTAGAATAGTTGTTATTTACCAAGTATAATTCTAGTTAATTTTTTTTTAGAGCATTAGTCCCTGCCCCAAGTTTAAGAATCACGTAATGCTTGAGATTGAGGTTCGTAACTTATACATTACTTAGTATTTTCGGTGCTAGAGGTAAAAAAGAAAATATTGCTGCTTTTGGGTCCCTTATTTTTAAAAAAATTGAAGTTAATATTGTGCTTAAATATTTTATAATTATCTATATATTTATTTTTATAAAAGTTTTACTTTGTGGATGTTTTGTTATTAAAATTATCTATGGACTTGTTTTATTTTAATAATTTTTTATATTACATTAAATAATATATACATATACATTATATAACAAAGTTAAAGTAAAAGTTTATATTATTTGATGAACTTGCTAAATAATGAAAATTTTATTTTATTATTTTCGATAGTATCTATCACGTGACGTTGAAATAAAATAAACAAAGCGAGCGTTAATTAGCATAATTACAATTATTTAGATAACATTTTGTTTTTTTTAAGCATGCTAAATAAATTAAATTTTTTTAATATTTTAAAACTATGTATATAAAAATATACTGAATTACTTATTAAATTGTTATATTATCCTCAAAGTATTTAATGATAATTAATAACAATAATAATTACCAACAAGCGAAATCACTTAGAAGAATTTGTCATTTTAGAGGCAGTCAACATTCGTAAAAAGACGTAAACAGAAGATCGTTTACGATCTCAGCGTTGCAGAGGATCTAAATGATTATAAGCTTCAAATTGTTGAAAATTTACCTTTTTGTTGACATGTCAAGAATGTTTCTCATAAAACATAGACTTTATAACATGGGTGTTGACATGTCAAGAATTTTTCTCATAAAATATAGAATTTATAACATGGGTGCTGTTCATTAGTTAAACTTTAAATTTAAAAGTTTGCTTAAAAGCAGTGTTTTAAAATTACCCGTTCTTTAGATCAAATTCTTCTGCAAATAAAAGTATACGTAGTAGACGAAATTGATTGTAAGATTGCATTAGCTTTAAAAAATGTAAGAGGATATAGAGGACACAAATCAATTTCTAAAATTTTCTGAAAATTGTAACATTTCTATAAATAGTACTAGTAAATATCTAGTATATCTTAGAGAGCCTATATACTCAAAGAGCGGATATACGGAAAATACGGAAGAACGGCGGCCATGTTTTTGCCAAACTAGCCTATGACATTCACGAGTTCAAATAAAAACAATTGAAAGAAAAAAAAAACAAATGAGCACAATAATATTTTAAACAAAAATATATTTTTATAAAATTAAAAATATAAAATTAAACCTTTTTATGTTTTATTTTTCAAAATCATTTTTCGACAAAATTATTTATTTAGGAAATACCTTTTCAAAAAAAAACAGCAAAAAAGTAGTTGTAATCAATAAGTAACTTGAAAAAAGCTTTATAGTTTATTTTATAAATTAGTTGAACCAAAACCTTTAGTGCCAATGCATGCATTGTCATATTCTTGCTGTCAAGTTCACAAGAACTTTTTTTAGTTTTTATCTTTTTACATAATAAACGCTTTTTTTTAAGGCTAAATATTTTAAGTCTGAATGTTATAAACCTGTTTTTTAGCTTCAATTTAATTTGATGACAACTAGGATACAAAGTTAGATTTTTAATTTGTTCATCAGAATTAATTTTCTTTAAAAGCATACTATTCATACAATTCTTTTGGGAATTAAGGTATGGCTCAAATGATCTGAATATTAACTCCATTTGTAAAAAGAATGCAAATGTTGTTTCATTAGCAAAAAATAAACTACCCACTTTGTGCTCTTTGTCTGTAACTAACTTTGTGTAATCAGCATTAACTTTATTTTTAGAAACTAGAGATTCAAAACAAATTGTGCAAACTTTTTCAATTTTTTTAACTCTAGAAATTATATAACCTGCAATATGAAACAAACAATTTTGCTCAGCATTACTTAAGATTAAGTTAGAGGTTTTATCCCAATCTTTGAGTAACGCAATGCACTCTCTTTGCTGTGGCTTATGCACCTTACTATTGACTATATCAAAAAAAAATAGATAAGAATTGACGGTCATCTAAATCATAATTACCTTTTGATGATTTTTTCAAGAATTGGGCAACGCAAATAAGTTTCAAGTTATTTTTAAATTGAAGAGCCAGTAGGAATTACTTGTTTTGCACGTACCATGGAAAAAAGATTCTCCAGGCAATCCTGCGTAAATCGTGATGTCATTAGAAAATGAAACTTTTTTTTTTTAAGGAACTTATTTTGCAAGTTAATAACTGATGTTGTTGATAATATAACACCACAGAATATCTATATGACTTCATTTAAAAATTTTATTGTTTCATTGTAAACTTTGTTATTTTTCATGCTAAGAGCCGTACCTGGGTTTCGTGAAGTCATTAATGTAAACCATTTATTAACAATTCCTATAAACCAAGCAGTTGTGAGAATAGAATCATCTTTTATTTCATTTGCAATAAAATTTAATCCACAACTTACATCATGATTCATTACAGATGTTGCTCTTGATACTTTCATTTTATGGAAATGTTTTTCATCAAGATGTTCAGATCTAAGCTTGTAAGCAAACTTCAAATCCATACCTTCTTGAAAGTTTAGAAGCTTGTTAAGGTGTTTTGAATCTATAATTGGCGATTAAAGTTTATATTTTTCTTGAATCTTAGCTGTTATTATAAAATGTTTATTACATAAAGGAGATGTTCTTATATTCTTTAATAAATGTGGTACGTCTGCTAAAAAATCAATTTTACGAGTAGGGTCACATGGGTGTTTAATTGAACTAGAAATACTGCCACTTTTAGTACAGCTAATATTAAAAGATTTCCACATTACCTGGTTAATGGCATTCATATCAGAAGTACCACTATTAACTTTTAATCCTATTTCTTCAGTATACTTTATTATAGATAGGACAATGTTTTTTAAAACACCCCCATCAACAGAACTTCCAGTATAATAATATGCAACAGTTTGTTTCCATCTTGTAGGTATTCCTCCAAGCATAAAAACTAAAGCTTGGTTGCTTGGCCATAATGTTCAGGTAATGTAACAACTCCATAGTAAGAGCCTGTAGATGTGATGATTCTAATCTTCGTCGTAGGGTACGTAATGATGGGTATGGTAAGTATGGTAACGAAGTAAATTTTCATAACCACTTTGACCACATGTAAATTTTTTTTTTTTTAATTTTGCTTACATTAAAATGTCAAAGTACAATTTTATATGCCATATATATCGTGTTACAATTAAATTCGTGTTACAACATTTATCAACTAAATTAAAATAAGAAAAAACACGGACATACATATATAAATATAAGCATATATACACATACAAATGCGTAGATGCGCACATACATAAACTGCTTACAATGAAACATAAGCTAGGATCTGAAAGAAGATCACAAGATCTTGTCATCAGAACCTTATAAAGCACAAACAAGCAAAATAAATACCAGTATAAGATACTAAAAAATAAAGTAAAAATTAAAATAAAGTACTGAATTCAAGTTGTATAACAATTTTCAAAATATTAGAAGTATCTGAGTATATTATCAAGTGAAATAATACATTTTTTTAGATTGAGCTTGAAAAGGTAAAAGGAAGTTGGTAAATCAAAATTCTGCAAAACTATATTATTCCATAGGTGGGGTCCACGATAAGCAATGCAAAATTGATTAAATTTTGTGTGACAAAATGGTTCTTTTAAAAAGTTTATGTTTCTCATGTCGTATTTGTTGTTAGGTTTGAGTTTGAAAGTATTATTAAAAACGGTAGGGGATTGATTATTTCTCCATAGATATACAAAACATAAAACTTTAAATACATTGAGTTCAAATAAATTTAACAATCTCATTTCAGTAAAAAGAGGTTTTGTGTGTGTAAAACGATCGGCATAGTTAATTATGCGGATCGCATGCTTTTGACGACGATAAAGAAGTTTTAACTTACTTTTTACAGTACTCCCCCAAGCAGTGTTGGCATAATTTATGTAACTGTGGATAAAAGAGTAATAAAGTTGTTTTAAGCAATTTTTATTTAGGTAGTTACGAACTTTATATAGAATCCCAATGTTTTTTGAAATTTTGGTAGATATATAATTAATATGTTGATTCCAGGAGATGTTTTCATCGAGATAAACACCTAAGAATTTTGTAACGGAATCATTTTTTATTTCAATTTCGCCAATAAAAAGTTTCGGCAAATTTATTGGTAAAAATCGCTTTTTTGCATGCGAATGGAATAGAGTCCATTTGGTTTTATTAATATTTAAAGTTAGCTTATTACATTTAAACCAGTTTGATATATGTTTTAATTCTTTATTCATAGTAGTAAAGAGTTCGTATATATTACTGTTTGAGAGGAATAGATTGGTATCATCTGCGTACATAATGCTTATAAGGTTAGAAGCTTTATTCAGATCATTTATATATATCAAGAAAAGTAGGGGCCCGAGGATTGAACCCTGAGGAACACCGCAGACGATATCAAGACAATTATTTTGATAGCCGTCGTTACTAATTACAAATTGTTTTCTTTTTGTTAAATAGCTTCTAAACCATTTTAAGGCAATACCATTAATTCCATAATATTCATGTTTTTGAAGCAGAATGTGATGATCTACCGTGTCGAAAGCTTTTGATAGGTCAATGAAGATACCTAACAAATACTGTGATTTTTCAAAAGATTTTGAGATTTCATGCACAAACTGGATTATTGCATGCTCTGTTGAGTTATTTTTTTTAAAACCAAATTGTTTGTTGTACAGTAAGTTATTTTTGTTGAGATGTTTGTATATTCTATTAGACATTATTCTTTCTAAAATTTTTGAAAATACCGAAAGAACAGAAATGGGTCGATAGTTGCTAATATTTGATCTGTCACCTTCTTTAAAGATAGGAGTAACTTTAGCAACTTTTAATTGTTCTGGAAAAATTCCTTGATTTATAGAAGCTCTAAAAACTTTAAAAAGAATATGTTTTAATATATCGAAACAATCTATAATTACGTTTCCATTAATTTCATCTGCTTCTGATGCTTTGTTTCTTTTCACAGAATTCAAAGCTACTTCAAATTCCTTAAAAGATAATTCTGAAGATAACTCATCAGAGCAAATGCAATCATCCATAGGTACAAGAAAATCATTAAAAGAAGCCGTCGTATTTGAAATCCTATTTGATAAGGAAGGACCTATCCCAATAAAAAATTTATTAAATTCATGGGATATGGCTCTTGGGTCATATAAACTTATGTTATCAACTTTAATCATCTGCGGCAGAAAACCTAAGCACGATTTTTGTTTTCCAGTAATTTCTTTCATAATTTGCCATGTGCGTTTTAAATCGTTTTTAAATTTATTAATTAGTTCTGAGTAGTAATTTCTTTTTAAGTTTTTACGTATTTTTTCAAATAGATATTTGTAGTTTTTGTATATTTTTTCGCTAGCAGATGTTTTTGTTTTTAAATATTTAATATACAACTTCTGTTTAACTTTTGACGATTTTTTTAATCCCTTCGTAATCCAGGGACTTTTTGAGCTTTTGTTAATTTTTATTATTTTTTCAACAATTGGAAAATTAGCGTCGTAAACGGAAAACAATGTTTTATAAAATGCTTCGTAGATGTTATTTGCATTGTCATTAAAATCAATATGATTCCAATGGAGCAAAGATAGTTGATCTTTAAATAGCTCAAAGTTTTTTTGTTTAAAGACACGTTTTCTTACAACTGTAGGGGTGTTAATATTTTTTTCTAAATTTGAGTTTATAATAAGGAATATAGGAAAATGATCGGATATATCAGTTTTTATAATACCTTTTTGAATATCTTTATTAAAAATATCAGTTGTAATGATATTATCTATTAGAATAACCGAGTTTATTGTTACCCTAGTAGGGCGATTAATTAAGGGTATAGACCCTGTTTCAAAAATTGTGTCATAAAATTTTTTAACTTTATACTCATCGTTATAAAGAAAACAATTCATATTAAAGTCCCCAATTACAAAGCTCTTTTTTTTTTCTGCGTCGCTGGTATTCACGATATGTTGTAAAAACATGCTTAAGTTTTCACTCACGCCGTTAGGTGGTCGATAACAACAGCTTAGTAAGGTTTTTGTTTTTTCGAGTAAAAGTTCAATTGTTAAAACTTCTTTATCGCCATCGGAGACGCTTAAATCGTTTCTCATATTATAAAAGATACTTTCATGAACATAAATTAGAAGCCCTCCACCTCGTTTACTCGTTTTTCTTTCTTGTGAGATAATTTTAAAATGAGGAATATTAAAATTATTGTCAAAATCGTTTAATGTAACCCATGTTTCAGTTAAACAAATGATATTAAATAGATTTTTTGTTTCTTCTAATAAATTTAAAAGTTTTTCAAAATTCCGATTTAAGCTTCTTATATTGAGGTGGAGAATTCTAATTTGATTGGAACTTTTTTTAATTGCATTCTGAAAAAGAAAACCTTCAAGCTCTTTAGGATAAAAATAAGCACAATCCGTAAAAGTATCGTAATAAAAATTATTATCTGGGTCTATGTTTTTATCAGAGGAAAAGTGGTTTCCTTCAAAAAAATTAAAAGAAATGGATTCAAAATCGTTCATAAAAGCCATGATTATTAAAATTAGGTTAAGGTTTCTTTTTTAGAATGCGTAATTCGATTATTTGTTTGGAACGTTTTTTAAAATATTAGTTTTAAAAGAAATAATTTTATCGTAACGAACCGAAACATTCTCACCGTTTAAACGTCGTTCTTTTACTTCCGCAAATAGTTTTCTCCTGATTGCAACTGTTTCGCGAGAAAAATCCTCGTTTACATAAATGTTTGTTCCTCTGAGACGAGCTGATTCTTTCAAAATTTTAACTTTGTCTTTGTATTGTTGAAGTTTTAAAACTATCACCCTCGAACGTCCATCTTTTTTTGGCCCAGTGCGATGTGCTCGTTCAATTTCAATACTCTTTATACCCAGTTTATGTAGAAAAAATGAATGAACTTTTTCTTCGGTTTTGTTCCAAGATTCTACTTCGTCTTCACATATTCCCTCAATTCTCAAGTTATTTCTCCGCGATCTATCTTCGAGGTTACGGATTTTTTCGTTTAGAAATTCGTTATTAGTTCTTTCTTTCTCTAATTGTTTGTTGATGTCAATTTTGTTTAAAAAATGTTTGTTGTTACTTTCAATCTTTTTATCAATTACATGTTCGTTGAAGTTTAAACTTTCTTTTATATCTTCAAGCTCTATTTCAATTTTTTTAATCTTGTTTGCATTTTGAGTGATATTTTTCTCAAATTTATTCAATCGTTCGTTTAATATTTTTGTATTTGCACTAATAATATCAATTACTGTTTTTTCTTGGTTTTTTAATAAAACTAAAGTTTCCTTTTTAAAATCATTAAGCATTTCTTTCATCATTTTTTTTATTTCTTTAAGTGTTACAGCCATACCTGATGTTGATAGGATCTTTTTAGTTAGTAGATTCGTAGGTTTTTTAGTTGTTTCTTTATTATACTTCAATTCCGTAGACTTTATTTATTTACTTTTTTCTAGTCGATAACTTTTATTTAATTCAGTAGAATTTTTAATACTTTTCTGCGCACAAAAGCGTCTGTTCACTTCGAAAAGCTTGCGTGAAAAAAAAAAAAAAAAAAAAAAAAAAAATTTGAGTTCTAACGCTTCATTTATAGTATCATTTAACCATTTAATGAATTTCATATTTTTTCTACTTAAGGATAAAATTTGATCTTCTTTAAATATTGTTTTCAAAACTCTAAATTTATCTCTCTTTATATGATTATATTTTTGAATAGTATTTATTCTTGCTTTCGATTTTAAAAGGTTAGTTTTTTTTTTTTGATTAATGACTTTTTTTTCTAATCTCTCCAATTTCGCATTTAAATCTTGTATAAGTAAACTTTTATCAACTTCAGTTGTACAAACTGATTCAGATACTTCATTGTTATTTACTTCAATTAAAACATTTTCCACAACTTTTCCACTTTCTATACAACTTATTTTCTTTTTTTTTAGTATTGGAAAACGCTCGAGTGGATTTCTTCGCTTATGTTTTGCTCTAACATGTTTAAAGACAGTAGAAATTGCATTATGTTTGAGTTTTCTTGATCCATCTTCTCTGGTTTTTTCCCATTGATCCGCATCAAAGTGTACCTTAATAAAAAAATTGAACGAATATAATGTATTTGTATGGATTCTAAAATAACTCATTTTTAGGATTAATTACATAAAACTGTATTTTCTTATGCTTACTTCACATAAAAAGCTTGTGTTTGTAGATATCCAGTTAAGTCGTTTAACTTTAGAAGTCAAAATCGCCCGTTGTTTTTCATTTCTTGGAAAGCATTTCATAATAAATCCTTCCTCAGGCCTGTTATGGCAGCCTCCTGCAGCACAACCAGGCATACTTTTACAAATATTTAATACAAATTTAGTAGTAGACTTTAATCGCAGTTAGTACTTTTGGCAAAAAGATCGCGTCTAAAATCATAAAAATCGAACAACCAATCAAAAACGATCACACGTATGTCCGTTCTCTGAGTATATAGGCTCTCTAGGATATCTGTAAGTATTAAAACATTTTCAAGGAAAACATGTATCCATTCAAGCAAATTGTTATCATGTATAGAAAATCCATTTCAATTCATTGATTAGTGTACAATAAGTTTCTCAGAAGAGGTGACTCTTTAATATAAAGAAGTTATTATTTTATGTGCAGTTCAATTTAGTACCACTAAAAGTAAAGCGTGTTGGACATGTGTAGTTTATTTCAGATTTTATTGAATTCAACGATGGACTTAAAAAAATTTTGATGGCTGTAAACAACTGGAACTTAATAATAGGACTCAATGATGACTTAAGGTGATCCTATACTAATAAAATCAAAATTTTAAAAATGCATTCATTTTTTATTATTTTAATATAAAATAAACAGTTTGTAAACTAAAAGTGGTATGATCATGAAAGCTTTTTAATACCAGATGATTACACTCACCCTGCCAAAATCTGATAATTTAACAAATTATTCAAGCTTTTGTAACAAAACCAGTTTAAGACCTGAAAAATATCCCTGATAAGACTTAGAACCTAGACCCTTTTTTTTTGGACCAGTTACCTAACATGAATTATTTTGGTAAGGTGAATGTACATAACAATCTCATTACTAGAATAAAAAGACTACTTCGAATTATACGAAAATGTTTTCAAGAAATATTTAAAAAACAGCCTAATCATTTTTTTTTCCGAAAAATCAGTTAAGATTTTAATTGAATTGTTATGACACTGTCGAAAATTTCCAATAAAAGTAACGATTTAATTTAGCAATATGAAGTAGCATTTCCAACAAAAAGAAATATCAAATCACTTCAAAGTCCCTGGATGTCGATAGGCTTACTAAAATCTACAAAAAGAAAGAAAAGTTATATAACAAAGACTTGAAAAAAAATCTTATAAAAATGAAATAACTTATAAAAAAAATATTCGAAAAAACAAAGAGATACTCAAAAGAGCTTTATCATGTTCAGTTATTAAAAAAAGGGTAAGTCTATACGCACGCACGTGTGAATAGACTATATCTTATTATAGTCTATTCGCACGTTTAAAAAAAAATTTCAAGTTAGATTTTTAATACGAAACCTCTCACAAATAAAAAATTTTTTTAACTTAAGTCATATATTTTGAAAGCAATTTAATTTTTTTAGTCAATTATAATAAAAATAAATAAAATTACTTAAACACTAAATTTTTATTCAAAAAACAAACAGAAACGTGCCAATAGATAAAATAAATATTAAGAAATACTTCTTTTTTAATTAAAAGATTGCCACTCCAAGCCAAAACCCTCGTCATTGTATTTGTACTACAGTGAGCCTATCCCTAGATAAGCAGTCAATATGTTTATACACTACGGTGCGCATATCCTTTAAAAGTCAGTTAACATAAGTACTGCGTTATTACTCCACTGCACTAGTTTAATTTTAAATTTAAAAACCAATAATAATAAATGTAATTTTTTTAAATTCCTTTTGAATTCGATAATCTTTACCTTTTTTTAATTAAACGTGCGAATAGACTATAATTAAATAATTATAGTCTATTCGCATGTTTTTCACGTGCGAATAGACACTCCGTTAAAAAAAAACCTAAAAAAGTATGGAATGTAATTAGAGATTTAATTAGAAAAAGTAATTATGAAAATAAAAAAAACCAACGGAAACACTAAAAAAGTATGGAATGTAATTAGAGATTTAATTGGAAAAACCAACGGAAACACTAAAAAAGTATGGAATGTAATTAGAGATTTAATTGGAAAAAGTAATTATAAAAATAAAAGTCTGCAAAAAAACCTTTTAATTAATGGAAAATTAGTTTATGATAAATATATTATAGCTGAAGAACTAAACAACTACTTTGTTAGTATTTATCCAAAATTGGATGCTAAAATCCCACCTAACTCCACTACTTTTGATTCATATTTAAAAACTTATGATAAACATATGGACAAAACTAGTTTAAAACTTAGCGAGAGTTGAGAGCTACATTTAGCAGTCTCAGAGTAAAAAAAGTGAAGGTTTTGATAAAATTAGTATTGATATTGTCAAATCAGTATTTGATATTATTGAACCTTCTTTATTCTATGTTTTTGATCTTTCATTTAAAACGGGTTTGATACATTTAAAAAAGTATTGTTCCTGACAAACTAAAAATTGCCGGTATAACACCAATTTTTAAAGCTGGAGAAGATTTAAAAAAAAAAATTCAAATATCTTAAACTACAGACATATATCTATACTACCTTGCTTTTCAAAATTGGTAAAGAGAATAATTTATAATAGGTTATATAATTAACTGAGAACGACATGTTGTATTGCAAATAATTTAGTTTTTAAAAAAAATGCCACTGAACATGCAATAATTGAACTTTCTAATCAAATATCTAACGCCTTTGGCTGTTTTACATTAGAAGTTTCCATTAATCTGTCAAAAGCTTTCGATACCGTAAATCACAATACACTAATAATAAAACTTGAAAACTACGGAGTGAAAAATAAAAACTTACTTTGGTTCAAAGGGTATCTGACAAACCGAAAACAATTTTTACACTATGATCAAAATAACACAATTCCATATTCCATAACTTACGGGGTTCCTCAGGGCTCTTTTTTAGGACCACTCTTATTACTATTGTACATAAATGACTTACATAAATGACCACTCTTATTACTATTGTACATAAATACTTAGCAACAAATCTTTTAGACTTAATTTGCTTGCTGATGATTCTAATCTTTTTTGTTCTCACAGAGATATTAAAACACTTTTTAAAATAGTTAATGAACATTTATGTAAATTTAATGAATGGCTTGTAAGTAACAAACTTTCATTAAACGTGGATAAAACAAAATATATACTTTTCCGTAAAGTAAATAAATCAGAAAACATTCCTCTAAAATTAGCTAATCTTATAATTAATAATACTTATATTAAAAGGGAAATATACGTAAACTTTTTAGGAGTAAAATTGGATGAAAATTTACTGTGGTATTCCATATAAATAGTATTAAAATAACACTCTCAAAAAATGTCGCAATGATGTTTAAGGCTAAACCTATTCTAAATGTAGCATCCCTGAAAAAATTTTATTTGCCTTTATTCACAGTTATTTGTCTTACTGTAATATTGTGTGGGGTAGTACTGGCTATACGAAACTTAAGAAAATCTGCAACAAACAAAAACATGCATGCTGAATAGTGTTTGGAGCCGACAGAAATATTCTTTGTGAACCACTTTTACGTGCGCTCGGTACTTTTTTTTTTTTTTTTGTTCTTTTATCTTTATAATGTTGTGATTCTACATGATTGGTACAAAGTTATAATGTTTTTAAAATATATAATACTAAAAATATATAACAATTTTATAGAATACAAAAAATATGATTGTAGGGTATCATTAATATTAAAAGAACGCGGGAAACTTGCAGAAGACCAGATGGTCTTGTCATCAAGAAACCGCTTGTACTTGTAATATTTTTTGTATTTTCGTTTTACAATGTATCAAGTTTCACAAAATACTTCATTTTATATTAGGTTCACATATAATAAAATGCAGAAATAAAAATTTGGTAAATACTGTTTGTAGTACGCATAATACACATAAATATATTGTTAAGCATAAATATAATTATTATTGACTTATATTGATTTTTTATATTAATATATATTATTGAAGTTTTTTGGATTTTGTTTTCAATTATAATTTTGGTTTTACTTTCAGTTTTAGTTTAGTGAAAGTTTAAATAATTGCTGATATTTAAAACAAACATTTTTAGTAAGATTTTCAAACAATTTATGTTATCTAATTTTGTAATAATGGCATTTTTGGATATCAGTTTATTATAAAGATAGGGACCGCGAAACGAAATTGTGAAACGCGACAGTTTTGTTTTTCTGAATGGTACATTAAAGTTTCCTACTTCTCTAGTGTCATATCTATTTTTATTGCTTTTAAAAAATTTATTTAAGAAATGTGGTGGGACAAGCCCGAGTTTAAATTTTGGCATGAAGAGTAAGTTTTGGTAAATGTTAATTCTATAGACGTTTAGTGCATTTAGGAGTTTAAACAAAGGTTCAGCATGAGTGAGTTTATCTTTTTTATAGACAATTCTAATGGCATGTTTTTGATGTTGATAAAGTGATTTTAAATTAGATTTATGGGTACTGGCCCATGCTATATTACCATATGTATAATAGGTATGTATAAATGAAAAATAAAGATGTTTTAGATTTTCTTGGGATAACATTGGCCTAGCTTTGTATAGCACGCCAATGTTTTTGGTTATTTTAGTATTTAAATAGTCAATATGGGCTTTCCATGAAATATTTTGATCAATAAGTAAATCTAGGAATTTAGTTGTTGTGGTTCTTTCGATATTTTTGTTTTTTATTCTTAGCAATGGCAATATATTTGGTAGTTTTTTTCTTTTTTGATTTGGATGGAATAAGATGTAATTAGTTTTTTCTGTGTTTAAAGATAGTTTATTAGATTTTAGCCAATTATTAAGTTTTTCGAGTTCAATATTCGTTGTTTCAAAAAGTTCTGTAATTGACGGGGATGAATAAAATAAATTAGTGTCATCTGCAAACATTATGACATCAAGTTTGTTTGAGGCTTTCGGAAGATCATTAATGTATATTAAAAACAGTAAGGGAGCTAGAATAGAACCTTGGGGAACGCCACATTTGATCTTTAGCATTTTTAAACAGAAATTTTCATCAGTATTTACACATTGTTGTCTGTTTAGCAAAAAGTTTTTAAACCAGAGTAATGCAACATTTTTTACGCCATATTTTTCCATTTTTTTGAGCAGGATTTCATGATCAACAGTATCGAATGCTTTTGATAGATCTATAAAGATTCCTAGAACAAATTCATTATTATCAAATGAGTAGTTGATGCTATTTACAAGATCTATGATTGCATGTTCGGTTGCATGTTGTTTTTGAAATCCAAACTGTTTTTTATTTAAGATGTTATTGTTTGTTAAATATATGTATAGTTTATTATAAATTATTCGTTCGAGAAGTTTTGAGAATACAGGAAGGATTGAGATTGGTCTATAGTTGTTTAGTAAATATAATTCTCCAGTTTTATATATAGGTACAATTTTTGCAATTTTAATTTCTCTGGAACGGTTCCTGTTATAATTGAAGATTTAAATATTTCGAAGAGGGGTTTTTTTATTATCGGAAAGCATGGCCTACTTAAATTACACGGCCTGATTTGTTGCATTTTCCGTAAAAAATTAAGAGGCCAGTTTTTTTACGGCTCAAGTATAAAAACTTAATTTTCGCTATGGTTATGAGTCTTGTTTGCACTACAATTGGTTTATTCTGATTTTATTAAAATGGTTTAATAATAGTTAGATTTTATTTGAGTTCTTACATTATTTTGTGCTGGATTTTTTGTTAACTGATTGCCTGCTTCAGTTTATTCCAATTACACAGAATACTGAAATAGGCTTTCAGATAGCTATATCAACACATACCAACATGCTACTAAAAATAACCTTACATGTTGCTAAAACTACCCACAACTCTCCATTGGAAATAATTTAAAAGGTTTGCACTTTTGTATTTATTATAATTGCAGTTATTAGATATAAAAAATCGATTTTTCTTTGAAATATTTACACTGCAAAACAACGTTTTGAAATGTAAATACTCTACTATGCTTGTGTTTTATACATACAGCAATTAAAATGCAACAAAACAGGCCAAAAATATCAGGCATACCAACTGTTTTGAAGTCAATATCTGTTAATAAAATTCTTAATTTTTCATTGCCTAATAAATGCTTATCATATTTCATATTTTCATATTTG